TAGATAGGTAGATAGGTAGATATGTAGATAGATGCATGGACTGGTAGATAGATGGAGGGGTAGATAGACACACACACACACACACGAATGGATATGCATGTACAGATATACATATGTATACATATATACATATATATATATATACACATACATATAAATTGCAGACAGATAAATAAGTCCTTCGTATTTCTGGCCCAAGCCCTATACGAGAAGCTCACGCTCTCAGGGCTCGGTCTGGGCCCGGGTCGACTGCAAGGAGGCCTTGGATCAGTCGCGAAAGTTTGGGGGACGTTAGGGTTTAGGGTTTAGGGTTTAGGGTTTAGGGTTTAGGGTTTAGGTTGCTGGGTTAAGGGATGTATATGGGCATTATGTGGGTGCTAGATGGGTAGTGCAAGGGTGCTATAGGGTTTGAGGGTTCCTCTTGTCCGCCACAGTGCCTGAGGGATCCGTTTATAACGTGAGCATGTAGCCGAATGTTTAAGGAATTTTTCGGTAGACTAGGGATCCAGCCGCAATGCGAGATAAGGTTTAGGGTTCATTTCAGCAAGCCGAAGATCCTCTCATTCTGAAGGTTTAGGGTTCCAGAGGTTTGAGGGTTGGGCCTTTCGGGGCTGAAGGTTCCCCTTTTTGTGGCTCACCAAAAGAACAGGGAGGACGCGATCATGACATGACTCGCGTGGCACTCCGGGACGCCCAATGCCCATTGCCCTAGACCCCGAACCCCCAACTCCAAACTCCAGGCCCGAACCGCAAAACCCTGAGCTCCACAACTTCAAAGAGACAGCTTGCAGCTTGTTTCGCGGTGCAGGTTGATCCGGACTGCCAGGGGAAGGCGAAGCGCTCGTGCATTCTTTTGCCAGGAATTTCAAGCTGAAGGTTCGGGATTTAGGGTTTTTCGCTTGGGGTTTGGGGTTTTCCAGTCTTTGGGGTTTTAGGGTCTTGGGTTTCGGGTTTGGGGTTTAGGCGTAACTGCTTTGGGTTTCAGGGTATAGGGTTTGGGATCAGGGTTTAGTACAGAGGCTCGAATAACTTGCTTTACTACCATATTTCGCCGGGGGTGCAGGTCACATTGTTCAGGGTTTACAGTTTCGGTTCGGCAAAAGATGTTCCTACTACGCTCAACAGACCCGATGATGGGTTCTGGGGTGTACCACGCCAAACCTTGAACCCTGAACCCTAAACCCACTCAAAACCCCAAGCCCTAAACCCTGAACTCTGAACCCTGGTGCCCTGGTGTTGAGAGGCCTGGACCACAGCCAGTCAAGGCGGGTTGTATCCGCGCCTCAGACCTTGACTCACTATTTGAGCGATGTCCCATTAAAAACCCACCCCTATAGAAGAATGCTATAGGACGCCGCAGATCTTGCTTGATAAGCTGTGGACCTCTGAATAACAGCAGTGCAGTTTTCCCGCGAGGGTCCTGTATTGTTCAGCCGTTCGAAAACTTAGTCGTACTATTTCTTGGGCCTCCCGTGTATAGTTTCCGAATTAAAGGCAACCAAATTTCAGCCTAATCCTCGGGCTTTTATACTACTTGGGTAGAAAATACAAGCGGTACAGCAATAGCAGCAGTAGCAGAAGCTACAGTAGTATTAGGCTTTCGAATTCGACCAAGAAGAGGGGCGAGTTTAAGACATGGGACAGAGTTCGGCAGTCTTCCCCCCTTAAGGATAAACAACCTTAAACTCCATAATCCTAACCCTAATCCTAAACACCAAACGCCATAATCCTTAACCCAACAATCCCAACACTAAGCGCTAGATCCTGATCTGCGAGCTTAGCTCCTTAGCCCAAAAGCCTAAAGGGCCTAAACTCTTGGACCCTAATCCTGAAACAAATCCTCCCAACAAGGGTCCGCTGACCCAGCCGAGGAACCTAGCGACGGCGGGACTCCGCTCGCCTTTACTGGAGCTGCCAAAGGACCCGAAGCTCGGATTATCCGGGGGTGGTACCAAGGGTTGAGGGTTTAGGACATCTATGGCTTATTGAAGGTGTAGCCTGGGCCCCAAATTTTAGGGGCTCATAGAGACTTGCATTTACGCTTCTAAGGTGTAGGTTTAGCAACTGAGGGTTTGCTGTAGGAGTTGAAACCTGAGGGATGCTTTAGGGGGAGCGACACTCTGAGAAAGTTCAGGCTCCCTAAACCCTAAACCCTAAACCCTATGGCTTGTGAAGAGGCCGGCAACCTCACCCTGAACTTGACTGCATGGTGGGACATGGAGGAGCAGGCTGGGCTCGGTCAGTCTCTGCTTGCGGGAAACATGTGGGAGTTTCCGAAAATACGGGATACCTTATTTGGGGGTCCTTAGAATAAGGATCCTACTATTTAGGGTACTATCTTAGGGTCCCCTATTTTCGGAAACTCCCATGTAGAGCATTCAGTGCTATTGTACCGTAAATGGGTCGTGCTAAGCTCTCAGACTCGAAACCCATAGATGCATATTCTGAACCCGTGAAGCTCGAAACGCTAAGTTGCACCTGGCCCTTCATGCTAAGTTTAAGCCTAGGCCCTACACCCGAAAGCCATAAAGCCCTAAAGCCCCAAATGCCCGAAAGCCATCAAGCACTATAAAGCCCCAAATGCTAGAGCCCATTTGGCAAGGTCGGGCCCTTCATGGAGACCACCACAGCGGGCTGCGAGGTGAAGGGCTGGGATGGCGTGCAGGCGACCAGGGGAAAGGGGGCAAGCTAGTCGAATCTAACCAATCTAATCTAGCATAATCCAATAGCACAACACAATATAGAATGATATGATATAATACAAGCGTTTCAATGACTTAAGACTTCAGGATATTCTGACACAAAGGTTTTTCTTTTCTCTTTTTTGTTTTGCGATGGGTGTCCAGGAAAAAGGATCTGAATTCTGCGGGTAGACGTTTCAGTCTCAATCGCCTGATTTCTGTTGTAGCTCTGATTTGGAGTTCGTGGTTTCTGGCTTGGGTGATGTGGCTGAGGCCGGTTCATTAGGCTGGCGCTCAAGTTGCACGTCTTCGGTTGCATTTCGCGGTTCGAGTTTCGGTCATGGGAGTCTCAGAAATGCTCAGATTCTAACTTGAGGTTGTTGGTTTTTATTTATTAGTAAGGTCCTTCTTAGCTTGTTTGGAAATGCACTCGGTGAAGAGTGTGGGACGTCAGGGAAGGGTCCAAGCCTTCGGTTGGCATATTCTTTGTTCCACCAAAACTGCTTGAAAGGCATGATCGACAGATATGCCGGACCACCAGCACATCTCTTAACATGGCTGGCGGGGAAAGGACCTTCGAGGGATAGCTGATGCAGCCTGTGGTACCGCAGAATCAGGTGAGGACTACTTTACTGGTTCAGGAGTGCTGAGCAGAATCCGGGAGTCGGGGGAGACTCTGGAATGAAATGTCTGAACCCTGATGCAAGGACAACAGAACCAACTAGCAAGCAAGCAGCGGCGTCAGCCTGACACCGAAACCGAAGGAGGTCTATGAAGCATGGTTTAACCTCTGGACACCAATCAGGTTGGACATGGATCCTTGCGAAAATTTAACGCTCCGAGGCGCTTACGCAGGGTTGGGCGGACGCCTGGCTGGTAAATGGGGAACAAGAAGACTAATGAGAGTTCCAGCTCTGCAACAAGAACGTGTAGACCTGCAGGGCAAGGACACCGGGCGACAAAACCCCAACTCAAACACTCAGACATGCTGCTTGTGGCATTTAAGCTCTCAAGTGCGCGACCCGATCGTCAGGTGCGGTTGCACATCTACAAGAGACCCGGGATTGAAACTGAGCAGCACGGCTCTGGCGACGAGGCAGCCAAGTTCACAGCTTCGTTCGCAGCTTGTTTTGGGGGTAAACCCTGTAAACTAAGCTGTCATGAATCATGAACACTGAGCCTTAAATCCTTCAGCTCAACTCCGACCAAACGACTCCCCCGCCATGCAAGCTGGTTTTATCACTGGCACTCTCATTGGGCCATTTCTCACACATAGAGACCCCTTGCGCACTCAGATCCCATCAGCTCCTAAGCCTCGAGGTGGTGGTGCTGCGACCGAAGGGAGGCTACGATGATCTCGAGACTGTGAAGGCAGTCGCCACTGGGCTGCAGCACCGGTGGCCTTGAGCATACCCAACACCCCCATTTTCCCCCAGGGCCCTACCAGTCAACACTTCGCAAAGACCTCAAAGCCGGTGCCAATCTTTGCATCCGAGGCGTCCTTTGCCAGACAGGCTCTATCGCTGCAAGATGGGCTATTGGGTTCGAGGGTCAGTGCATGAGCCTGCAGTATTTCAACTAGGGCTAGGGTATTGTAGCACACTGTGGTATACTTGTATGGGGACGATTGGGGACATTTTCTTCCTTCCTCTACTTCGAGGCCTCTTGCCACTTGGAGTTTCGGTGCTTTGTGTGTATGTCCTGGGTCGGGTTTAGAGTGTAGTGGCCTCAAAACCCTGAACCCTAAATAGCAACCCTTTGGAGTAACGCTTACAGTCAACCCTAGAGGCTCTCTAAACCCTAAACCCTAAACCCTAACGGCATGGTGAAGGGGGCAATGTGAGCTTCTGAGACCTAGACATGCCGGCATATGCGGTAGTTGCCCGGTAGCTACAATGTTACAACTTACAAAACCCTAAACCCTAAACCCTAAACCCTAAACCCCTAAACCCTAAACCCTAAACCCTAAACCCTAAACTGGCCTCTTTCGCCCTTGTGGGGCCTTTCTTCTGATGGGCCGAGGCCCTGCTTCTCTTGACCGGCTCTTGCGGTGCCTCCGTATTGTGACCGTCGTATTATAGCGTCGTGAGGGACAGCAGGCACCAGAAGCAGAAGCCATCAGAAGCCAAAAAACCTGTAAATGCCAGAGTCGGTCGGATTGTGTACTGCGAGGGTCAAGTGCTGGCAAGACAGGTGTGATGCTGCCTCAGCGACGGTGGCAGCACGTATCGCTCATAGATAAGCTTTGCGGAAAAGTTGAAACAACGCACGCCTCCTTGAACTGGCATGTTTCCACTCCTCCCAGTCCGGCAGGCAATTGATGCACAGTACCCATCGGCCTACCGGCAAGACTGCGCATCTCAAGATGGGTGGACAGGCTTGCTCGTCCCGTATCCTTCACTTGTGCCATGCCATGCTGGGTTTAGGGATCACTGCATGGGCCATACCGTAGCATGAATGTCCCTACCCGTCTGACTTGCTAGCCACAGGAACGGAGCAGCCCCAGCGGGTGTGCACGCCTTCCACCGGTGTACTCTGTCGAGTGCAGTGTTCATTTTGCACTTTTGTGGGTTGGGTTCAGAGGAGAATGATTAGACTTTGGATTCGCATACTGCCCCAACTTCCTCCACAGCGTCGCCAAGGGGTCGGACCGTAGTGCAGGGCTTCTGAGACACTGGTGGCACGCTCTCAGTTGGAACTCATGTATCCTTCTGAACCCCCGTGGGCCGTGCACTGTGAGCTGCAACTTGAGCAGTTACTGTAGACCTTTCTGCGCCGCTGCTAGCAGTGCTGCCGGCGGCTGCCGGAGTGCAAGGGAACATTGCGGGCCGTTGTCCGTCTTTACAAATATGTGTACTCAACATTGAGCATTCATGCCCAAAGAGGCAGCTGGCCAGGAGGTTTCAGAAAACCAAGGGTTACCTTGTCCGGGTCCTTACAATCGGGATCCTCGTATCTAGATGCAGCAGCCCTTGAAAGTCGATCCTCGAAAACCTCTCAAACTGCCGCAGGGCGCAGTCGCGGGAAAGGCTTCACATCCCACCTCTTCGACTTGCATGCTTTTGGAGGAGAGGGTTGAGGGTTCAGAGCTTTGGGTTTAGGGTTAGCTGCCCGGCTTTTGGGGGCTTGAATCGAATCTCCACTTTGGTGCCAATCATGTAGGCTGCCGCATGTGAGTCAGATTTAGGATACGATCTTGTTCCTCTGTTTGCAGGGGATTTCCCGTGCAGCCAGACTCAAGGCGCCGAAGCCGCAGAACTCAAGCAACACCAGAACTCCCATAGCCCGTAAGTCTTCAGACCCACAGCACCTACAAGACCAGTGCATCGCGTGGTGCAGCTGTCCTTCAAGTCTCAATGTCACTTGAAGCGGCAAGACTTTTCAGGGCAGGGAGCAGGCTGACCTGCTCTGCTTTGAGCTTACTTGCTCTAGTGTTCGTTTGTGTGTGATGTCCGAGAGTTTCAGGTTTCAGCCGCAGAGCAAGGAGAGTTCAGCGCTTGTTTTATGCACTTCATTGTGGAAGCACCTAAAGGGTGTGCTGGTGGCGTTTGTTAATTCCTCTTTTCCTTTCCTTTCGTCTGTTTCTTGCCAGCATCGTATGCCGAAGAGTTGGAGAGGACGCACGTAAGCCAAAGAAGGGACTTAGGTTATGGGGTGAAATATGCTACAGTGACTGACTACCAGTTACCGTTAAAGCTGATTGTCACCGCCCAAGCCCGCGCAGGGCAGCGAGCCCGCATCGAGGTGCGATGTGGGAATTCAAGCCCAGCAGTTCTGTGGACTTAGAGGTTTGTTATACTATATTATACTATATTTATTGTACTATATTATACTATATACTATATTATACTATATTATA